TCTTAAAGTCGTCTATCTCAGGTACTATATCTATCAGATACTTAAAATTTTAATCAGAGGTAGTAGATGGGATGTACTTCTTGAGAATATTTAGTTATTCATTATTTGTTGTACGGGGTGTTTGCAAATTATTTTTAAAAATGACATTTTTTAAACATAAAAAACTTTTTGATTTTAAATTGAACACCCTATATATTTTTTAAATTTTAGATTCAGCATGAAATTCTGTAAACAATGATACCCCATTCGCATATTCTAATTATAGTGTATTTGGCGTTATTCAGTTTTTTATAATCTTTTATATGCCGGCAGACATTTGCTTTTTTAAATTTACTTGTACATCGTTTGTTCGACTGTGTGTTTGGAAATTATTTTAAAAAATAAATATTTTAAACATGAAAATTTTTTTTATTTTAAATGGAAAATCCTGTATATTTTTATTTCATTTTGTTCAGAAATTTATTCTTCATTGATCTTCATTTGCACTATTAATTCCCTATAATTATCTCTCGCCAATTTTAAGAAAATTTAAATTTAAATTTTACGCATGCACCTACATAATATAGTATAGTTTTACATTTTAATTTTTTATCTTAGTATGCCGTGGAAATATGCTAAACAACAATCTGTCAACAAACTGAATTGTCATATTTGTATGTATTTAAGTTGTGTATTTTTTGCGTTCAAAATATGGAAAATATGGAAAATATTGAAGAATATACCAACCAAGATATTCTTAATTTATTTTACATTCATGGAGGATGTAATCGAATCAAAAGTAGAACCTGCCGCATGTTTAATGAACGATACCCTCATTTACCACCAATGAACAGACAGAAATTTGATAGAATCGAAGCTAACTTTTTGAATAATTTTAAACAAAACCCGGGAAGAAACCGTCAACATTATGTCCGAGATGAAGAAGTTAATCTAATTAACGTATTAGGGTATTTTACTGCGTATCCTCACGCCTCCATTAGAATGGCTCAAGATAATTTAAATATTAGTCGAGGGTCAATACAACGAATTTTAGCCCTAAATAAATGGCATCCCTATGCACAAAGAAAAGTTCATGAGTTGCGAGATGGTGATCAAATAAGACGAACTGAATTATGCGAATGGTTATTGGTACGAATTCAAGAAGATCCCGAGATTTTAAACAAAATTTTGTGGTCAGACGAGTCGAAATTTACACGTAAAGGGATCATCAATCGCAAGCAATGTCATTTCTGGGCAAACGAAAATCCACATTTTTATCGTGAAGCACAATTTCAGTACGAATTTAGTTTTAATGTGTTTGCAGTGGTTTTGGAAGAGCTTTTTATTACATTTATAATGAAAGACTGACCTCAGTAAGATACATTAGAATTCTTAGAGAAGTAGTTGCCGCGAGAGTTGCCGACATTTTAAACCAGCTACCAAATAATAATTTTTGGTACCAGTTGGATGGTGCCCCAGCACATTCAACATACTATGTAAATCAAAAAATTACAACACTCTTTGAAGACCGATGGATAGGTCCAAATGGTCCTTGGCTTTAGCCTGCAAGATCGCCAGATCTAACTCCTGTTGATTTTTTTATGGGGTCATATTAAAAATTTAGTGTACTCTACCCAAATTAATACTAAAGAAGAATTAGAGCAAAGAGTTCGGAATGCCTTTAACGAGTTAGATGGTGAAATGATTCGTAAAGCAACAACTAATCATGTTGAAAAAAGATTGTTAAAATGTTTAGAAGCTAACGGGGGGCATTTTGAACATTTGATAAAATGATTTTTTTAAACCATGTGCTTTTAATAAAAATTGTTTTTAGTTAGTATATACCTTATCATTAAAAAAATTTAAACTTTTTAAACGACATGTTTTGTTGCAGAAAACTGTAAATGTTTTTAAAAGTACATCCCATCTACTACTTCTGGCTAAAATTTCAAGTATCCAACAGAAATAGTACCTGAGACAGTCGACTTTAAGAAAATGCCTACCGGCGCGACGACTAAAAATTAAAAAAAAATGAATAACGCCAAATCCGCTATAATTAGAATAGGCAAATATGGTATCATTGTTTACAGAATTTCATGCTGAATCCTAAATTTAAAAAATATATAGGGTGTTCCCTTTAAAATAAAAAAGTTTTTTATGTTTAAAAAATTTCATTTTTAAAAATAATTTGCAAACACAACGTACAACAAATAATGAATAACTAAATATTCTCAAGAAGTACATTCCATCTACTACCTCTGGTTAAAATTTTAAGTATCTGATAGATATAGTACCTGAGATAGACGACTTTAAGAAAATGTCTACCGGCGACTAAAAATGTAGAAAAAAATTGAATAACGCCAAATCCGCTATAACTAGAATAGGCAAATGGGGTATCGTTGTTTACAGAATTTCATGCTGAATCTAAAATTAAAAAAAAATATGGGGTATTCCCTTTAAAATAACGAAGTTAGTGGTCCCTTCCGGTATAACCGGAAGTTGCACAGAGTTCATTTTATTTTAATTCAAAAGAGCATATTCGATTATGTATACTCAGAAAATGGCGAAAATACAAATTAATTTATTCTCCATAAAGTTGTAATGCCCGCCTTACGTGGGACACGGTGTATATCTTTTTCAAACCTGCTAAACCTAAAATACCTGCTCAATGAAATTAGTTTGTATCAGATTTTTCTGTATGTCAGGCTCGATGTCAGGTCAGCTCTATTTTGCAGTTATTGTACTATTTTTGGCTCAGTAAGAACTTATTCTGTTTTGCATTATAAATTATCTGTCAATTATTCCTTCCTTCATAAAAAATACAGGGTGTTTCAAAAAGGTATGTCATAAATTCTTCCACAGATAAATTACCAAAAAATAAGTGGATTTGGCTATATTTACCTTTATCAAAAACTGGCTCCTAACAAAGTTACAGGCCGTTAAACTAACGTTCAAAAAAACGTTTTTTATTTTTGTAAAAAGTTTGCTGTTGCGAATTTTTCTTTGAAATTTTTGCCAGTGCTGTAAATTGAAGGCCCAATATTTTAAGGAGAAAAAAAAATTAAAGCGAAACCTTTAAAAAATGTTGGGGGATTGGGTACCGTTTAACCGAGCGTTTAACCCCCCCCGTATTTTTTTTGTCATAAAGAAACTTGCTTTATCGATCTAAAAATCAAAAAGAACTATGAATTTTTTTAATTTTTTTATAGTAAAATGAACTTTGTATCTTTCTTAGTTAACGAGCTTTTTACAATTTTTTAACTGAATTTTTAGAGCGATTCGTCCATCCTGGACTTAACATATCAACAAAACTAAGAGTAGGTCAGGAGTTATTGTACAAAAAACGCATATAAAAATCAGTGGTGTGTCTAGGGATGTTCTTGAGCCGCCCCTGCAAAAAATACCTCTTTTATTTATATTTTTGTAAAAAGGGTATTTATAATATTGGATTGGCGCCATAAAAATGGTATGCCACCCTTGGTACACCATGCCACTGATAAAAATACACGTCAGTTTGGAAATGTATTTATTAAATTTGATAATAATTAAAAAAAAATATTTTTTTACAATAATTATTATACATATTTTATAAACTATTTAATTTAGTAAATGTTCAACATGTCCTCCTCCTTCTTGAATACAAAAATATAAATAGAAGAGGTAGTTTCTGCAGGGGCAGCTCAAGCACAGCCCTAGGCACACCAGTGATTTTTATATGCATTTTTTGTACAATAACTCCTGACCTACTCTTAGTTTTGTTGATATGTTAATTCCAGGACGGACGAATTGCTCTAGATATTCAGTTAAAAAATTGTAATAGCTCGTTAACTAAGAAAGGTACAAAGTTCATTTAGCTATAAAAAAAATAAAAATTCATAGTTCTTTTTGATTTTTAGATCGATAAAGCAAGTTTCTTTATGACAAAAAATACGGGTGGGTTAAAAGGTACCCAAACCCCCAACTTTTTTTAAAGAGGTCCTTTTAAATTTTTTTTTCTTCTTGGAATATTGGGCCTTTAAATCTACAGCACTGGCAAAAATTTCAAAGAAAAATTGGCAACAGCAAACTTTTTACAAAAAAAAACGTTTTTTTGAATGTTAGTTTAACGCCCTGCACTTATTTTTCGGTAATCTATCTGTGGAAGAATTTATGACATACCTTTTTGAAACACCCTGTATATTTCAAGTTTGAATGGTATACCATTTTCATGTTTCTTTCTAATAAGGTATTCCTAACAATTTTTTTTGAGTTAATAGACCTGCCAAATTTCGTAAATTTTTGACTTTAGATAGACACTTAAATGTAATTTTGAATTTTAATTTCACTCAATAAATAAATTAAAATATATCTAGTATATTCACCTCGGTATTCACTGATACTTTACAATATGAAATTTCATGTTTTATTATTTACCAAAATATTTCGATATGACTCAAGTAAATTAGTAGGTACCAAATACAAAATACATTTAGAAAAACTTATTTTTTTCTGCTAGTTTTAAAAATACTAACAAATTTTGAAAATTCTAGTATACAAGACCTAGATTTAACTTTTATTTACACACTATTCGGCACCATATTGGGCATAGAATAAATGCTGGGTATCTGAAAAATATACAAATTCGCAAATTATGAATAATTGATAAATCACTCTGTATCTTGGTTATGTTTTTAATTTATGTGGGTTAGATCATGTTTTGATAATGTTTTTAATTTGTTATTTTGGTTATGTATGTGTCAAGAAATTTGTTATTTTTTATAGATAGTTAGTTTAGGATGATGGTGTATGCATTAATTAATCAATATTTTTTTTTTAAAAGTGATTTGAGAAACTCAAATAGTAAAAATCAATATTTACGGGTAATTTGCATGTATCCCTAAGGATAAAGCAACCAGTATTCTAGATAGGGAAATCGCTGCGAAATAAGGTACATTCTGGTTAGGTAGTTTCAATCTATATGACCTAATATCTTGTTTACGCCAAATACAATCTAAAAATAAACTTTTTTTGTTGGTACTCACCAAACCCTTTTTTGCACGCCCTCTTAAGCTTCTTGGCCATCCCCGGCCTGACCCTAGGCTTCGGAGTATCGATCGGCAAAAGATTCTTATCCAACATCAACAGATACTTCTTCGAATTCTTCATCTCCTTGACTAGATCGCAAGTCGCCGTGAGCAAGCGCCTGTAAGACTTGTGCAATAACACGAAATCCTTATACACGTTCTCCTTAAAGTCCTTAATCACTTTCACGTAATATTCACAAAATTGGTTCGATTCGTTTATATGCCTAGATTCCACCTCCGCTAGGATGACGAACTCCGCTCTATAGGCTTTTGCGAAGATGTCTTCCTTCTGGCGCTGCGACCATTTGTTTTTTCCTCTTTTTGAGTTATGCTCGGACGCTCGCTGCGATCTCGATACCACGAATTTCACCGGAGCGAAGTCAGTCGGAGGTATTTGCGCGAGACTTTCATCGGGGAAGATTGTCGACGAAGCCAGCGACACGTTTGCTTCGCTAGAAGGCATCGAAAGACTTACCTCGCTGGAAATGCGATGCGCTGTCCAAACGACCTCGCTAGAGCTACGCGTTGGCCAGATTACCTCGCTAGAAGGTATTGACACCGGCCAAGGGTTTCGTGCTTCGCTAATTTCGCTGCGTTTGAGTTCGCTATGGCTAAGTTTGATCTCGCTAGAGGAAGGATTAGCGAGTGGCCACGTATTCGCGGATTCGCTAGATTCGATGGAGGATTTATACGGCCAAATGAGTTTGTCATTGGTGGATGAAAAATCCGTGGAGGAGATGGATTTGGTGGCGGGCGGGGGATAAATGATGGCATCGATGTGCGGGGGTTTGGGGGATCGAGTGTGCGCCTGAGTCCTCCAAAGCCTGTGATGCCTGATTTTGTGCGGTTTATTGACAGTGTCTGCGCGGATAAATCTATCGGTATTTGAATAATAGTTATTCGGCGAGGTGTGGAAATTTTTTTTGGTCAGATCCGTCATGGCTAGGTTATCTATGCGGAAACCATAACAACTCAATACGGCTAGGAGCATTAGAAATATAAAACATACGCATTTTTGGTACATGTCTAGATCGGTGGGGAGGTGTGTGTGTGTGGGGCTTAAGATATATTCAGGAGCCGGTGTCCGAACGTTGATATCTGATATCCAGGTGCCAAGAAAGTATAAGATGTACCATACGGCGCTGCTTCATGTTTCCAGCAACGGGTAACACTGAATAATCCTGCACGGTTCATTCCTGGATTCACATCACTGTTGTAGCAGGAAACATAGACATATTATTCTGGTATAGTTGGAGCACTGTCACTTTTAAAATAAACGCGCCACGACGGTGTTTGGTATCTCGCGATGATCGTATTCAGAACTTTGCCCGCGCGCTACAAGTATCGGCAACTGCGTAATTTTCGTATTGATGGCAATGTTGCTCGTCGGGTGGCTCAAGCTGCACTGAAGTGGATTCGGATGACGGGCCCCACCACTGATGTCGCCGCCGTTGAATGCTACGGACGCCCGAATTCGCGCTGGTGCTGCTGCTGATGCTCTGCATCCCCGCTGCTCAAGTGGAAAACGAGACGCTGATGGGTGGACGCCGAGTGGTAGACGCTGGACGTCGCGGCTCTTCTTCTTCTCCTTCTTATTCTTGCCGTGATTATGCTTCGACTTTCACGGTCTACGTTTGGGTATTATTATTATTATTCTCAAGTTGGGAGCGATACATATTTTTTTATAGATTTAAATAACGAAGATCTGAAAGGTTGTGTTTTGTTTTTGATTGTAAATTTTAATTATTCAGTCAAATTAAATAGCAATTTAGAAAATAGGTTAATTTTCTTAAAACATATATACAGGGTTACTCATAAATATTAGATTGTCAAAGTTCAATATACCTATGCGTTATTATAGCAGATAGCAAAAATAGTAAGTGCGAGTAATTATTGTTTTTTTTTAATGCGTTGACAATACGTGAACATTTGTTGAATTTCGATTTAATGCAGTCGTTTTGAATTTTGAACTGTCAGATAATTAGGTACTTATTTAATTTGAATAAGAATGACAAGTAATAGAGGTTTTTATCTTAAAAAATACTGAGCATATTATATTAATATATTTAGGAATTGTTTTTAAAAAATAGTCATTGTCTAGTTTGAGGCTTTTAGTTTATGATATCAGGTATCATTATTGTAAACAAAAAATCTTAGTTTCATATCTTGTAAAAATAATAATAACGACACAAAATTATTTAAATAAAAATATTGCACAAATGGTCTCAACTCAAAGCTCAGAGATGCGTCTTACAATGTTGCCAAGTCTCTCAGAAAGTTTACCATTCAATTATTTTGTATCAAAAGTACAGCAATCCATCTCTAATAATTTTCTTTGTCCTAACAATATTTTATAATATTATAAAATATTGACGTTGTTTTTTCCACCCAGCACCCCTATTTACTTCTTTTCCAGTAAAATTGATAAAATTAATGGAAAAAATGACATATTTTTTTAGTTATTTGTGTCCTTATTATTCATTTGCACAAGATATGGAACTTGGGTTTTTTTGTTTAGAATAGCAATATCTACAAGTAACTATGCTTGGTTTTTCTGTAATCGAAAAGAACTCAAACTAGACATTATTTACCAAAAATAGTTTTAAAGTTTAGAAAGAAATATTGGAAAGCATATAATAAATGCTTTTTTAAATCATAATATTTAGGTATCTATACAAATAAATTATATTTAACAATTATTTAAAAGTTATAAGGTAAGTTGGGGTAAGTGTATACATAAATTTGACTAGTTCAACTTTAAGGTGATGCCACATTGGCAGGTGAAATTGAATTTAAGATCTGTAAAATCTGTGCAGTAGGTACATTCAAACTGTATAGGTTCTCGGTAAAAGTGGATTTTAATTTAGAATTTTTTACAAAGATGGCGTACCTATGTCTAACAGGAATAAATATTTAACGATCTTACCCCAACTTATTTTAATGCAAAATACACCATGTTATTTTTGTCTAATTCCTTCAGAAAACCTGTGTTTTAAGTTTTGACTTTCGATACTTTTGAAAGTTCTTTCTCTCCTGGGCTCGTCTGACTAGTGTCTCCGAATAACACTGAAGCCTATTGGCTTATTATGTTTTACCCCATGTTAGTTCATAGCACCCACTCTATCACTTTTGTACCTTGTACAAGTTTGTACAGATCCTTGGGTGAGTGGGTTCTATACGTTGTTGCAATGTTGCACACATTTAGATAATCAAACTAATGAAATCAGACGACACACGAATGAGTAACAACATCCAGTACACAGTAAATCATCATTCATACAAGAAAAATAAGAAGAAAAGGATAAAAATATCTCATATTTTAGTCCAGGCCCAGATTTAGATTTTTTAATTTTTTATCTCTCTTACTTATTTTTTTTTTTTTTTAAAAAAAAGTATGAAAAAGTTGTTTATTTTTAATGACTTCTATACACAGTTAAAAAAAATATCAACTTAGAATTCACCCTGTATATACCTATTATTTTTACGTTTTCATTATTAATTTCGCTGTAACTTTATGCACTTTAGGGACTAAAATTATACTTTTAGTCCCTTTTTTCAAGGATTAAAATGGCACTTTTACTCTCTAGGGAATAAAAATTACTTTTAAAATAAAAAAAAATCATTACTGTTGAATATAATAATGACTGTATAGAAGATCCACAGGCAATTGTTCAAGCTTTTGCAGATCACTTTTGAAGCAATTTCTCCAAGCCAACTCAAATAAATCACTTCATCAACGAATCTACCAATAATTTACCTTTTCTTCACTTTAATTCTGTATCTCAAGATGAAGTTATTAGAGTCCTAAAAAAGCTTAAGTCCAATATGTCAATAGGTACTGACCTTATTCCTTCGTTTCTTGACAGAGACTGTGCACTAATTTTGGCCACTCCTTTGAAACAAATTTTTGATATAATTTTGAAAACATGTATTTTCCCTACTGCCTGGAAAATTTCCAGAATTACTTCAGTACATAAAAAAGGTAGCAAAAATGATGTTTGTAATTATCGGCCCATAAGCATTCTTTGCAATTTTGTATTCGAAATAATTACTAACGATCGTATTTCCAATCATGTTTCCCGTCTTATATCTTGTGACCAACATAGATTCATGAAAAATAGATCTACAGTTACAAACCTTGTATGTTCGACGCAATTCATTTTGGAAGCTTTGGATAAAAGAAGTTAAGTTGGTGTAATATACACAGATTTCTCCAAGGCTTTCGACAAAATTGATCATTAGGTCATTAGCCTCCTGTTCTATGTAGGTTATGGACTGTACTTGTAGTTTAATACTCCATAATGCAGGAGTATTAGTACTCTAATACTCCTACACCCCTACAGACAGGCCTTGTTGCTGTTTCCTTGCGCCACTGTAGGAATAGCACAAGTTAAGTTTCATTGGTTTATGTGATCAAATCATTCAATTGATTGGTTCGTATTTGTTGGGTAGGCATCAATATGTTCAATGTCCCCAGACAACACACCAAATCCCCGAGATATCCACAGAATATATTTTGTGGATATCCAATATATCCACAGGATATCAGAAATATTCCGTGGAACTAATATAGATATCCAAATGTCCGTCTATATCCAGAATATAGAAGATATCCTATGGATATTCAGCAAAATATCTAATGAGTATCTCCAGACAATACAAAAAATCCCAGATATATCCATAGAATATATTTTGTGGATATCCAACCAAATGTCCGTCTATATCCCAGGATATAGAAATTCAGATAAATATTTTATAATTATTTTTAGTAGAGGTTCATAAGTAACCAATGGTTATTGAATAACGTCGAAAGAAAATAGAGGTAAAAAATATTCCCAACAATCTGCCTTTGATTTTGCCTACTAAGGAGAAAATCATCCTTATTAGGAATCTTCAGCAATAAATGGAACTTCTCGACTTCAGTCTCTAATGAAGTCTGTTCGTGAAACAATGTCGATCAAACTCAATTACGGCGGGTTAAGCATGAGTAGATACGAAAGTGGTATCGCCATCTATACTTAGGAAGCAAAATCAAAAATTACATCTAGTAGATATCCACGATGGTTTGCGTCCGCGCTTAGACTTTGATATATTTATATTTATAGTGGATGTCCATGGGATATTGAATACACCTTAAAAAAAATTAATTTTAAATATCTCAACGGTACTATTAGCCACAATGGCGAGTACAATGGCGTAATTTTTTAATAATTTGCTATATAATTACAATTATTTATGGACATTTGCATGTCTATAAATTACATTTCATGGATATAAAATAGATATCCATCATGGACTGGACATTCAGTGGATATTGGGATGTTCAGTAGATATCCAAAGGATTTGGTGTGCTGTCTGGGTCGTGGTTACAGGTCAAAAAATTTAGAATAAACATCAGGAGTTCCGCAGGGATCAATTTTAGGTACTCTTTTATTTATAATTTTTATAAACGATATAGTCGCTAATATCGAGCATATTAAAGTTTTAATGTATGCCGACGACCTAAAATTATTGCTTGAATTCAATTCTGTTAACCATCGCTTGCGACTTCAAAAGTGTTTGTCCGACATTGCAAAGTGGTATCTCGATACTTCACTCCCTCTAAATCCTGAGAAATGTTCCGTTATGTCCTTTACTAAAAAAGTAACACCTATAATTTTTGGTTATAAACTACAGAACATTGTTCAAAACCGACCCGAATTTATAAGAGATCTCGGAGTTTATTTTGATCCTGAATCAACTTTCGCTAAACACATTGAAACGATGTTATCTGCTGCTAACAGGAGCTTAGGGTTTGTTGTTCGAAGCTGTAAAGAATTCCGAGACATACCTTAAAATTTTTATATATTAGCTTTGTACGGTCAAAACCTGAATACTGCTCTGTTGTTTGGAATCCCGTGTATAACATTTATACTGACTTACTCGAAAAAGTTCAAAGAAAATTCATGAAATCGGTTCCTACATTTTAGATGGGGGATATCCCCACGATTTACTAATATCTAGATTCAATCTTTTAGAGCTCGTGATACGCAGAAATTTCCAACAGGTACTCCTACTTTATTACTTTATAATCTTTTAAATGGCTCAGTCGACAGTATTGATTTGTGAAATTACGTTAATCTAAAAATCACCCGTTTCTACATGCCAGCTTCTAGAATTAATGTTTTGAACTCATCTCCAATTTACCAATCTATTCAAAAATATGATTAAATTCAAGACAGCTTGGATATTTTTGCATGTAAAAAATATACATATGATTTTTTTTTTAATGAGTAAAACCAAATTTGGTAGATTTTCACAAAACTTTTATTGTAATGGGGGAACCCATTAAGCCCGTTGCTTGCAGAAATATTTATGGATAATATAGAACATAAAATTCATAGCAAAAATTTAAGTAAACATTGTCTTTATTGGCATTGATATGTTGACGATATACTGACTGCTT